GAGGACAGTGCTATGTATATCTGCGTGTCATCTGCATAACTGTGATAGTCTACATTAGAGTTCTGCAGAACTTGACCCAAAGGCAGCATATATAGACTGAACAGAAGGGGTCCAAGAACTGACCCCTGAGGAACTCCACATGTCATAGCCATTCGATTGGATTCATAACTTCCAATGGTCACAAAATAACTCCACTCTTCCAAGTAGGACCTGAACCATTCTAGGACTGTTCCGCTGAGTCCTGCCCAAGTTTCCAACCTGTTCAACAATATACTGTGATCCACAGTGTCAAATGCAGCACTGAGATCCAACAGGACCAGAACTGACACCTTGCCTGAGTCAGTGTTTAACCTAATATCATTTAACACTCTAATAAGAGCTGTTTCTGTACTGTGGTGAGGTCGGAAGCCTGATTGAAATTTGTCAAAAAGGCCACTGGAATTCAAGAAATTGCTGAGTTGATTAAAAACCACTTTCTCAACGATCTTGGCTATAAAAAGAAGATTTGAGATAGGTCTGTAGTTGGTTAACATGGAAGCATCCAGCGTTCTCTTTTTTAAGAGTGGCTTAATGGCCGCTACTTTTAGGGATTTAGGAAACGTGCCCGATTGAAGTGAGCTATTTAGTATTTGTCGCAAATCTATTTGGACAGAGTTCACAATAGTTTTTAAAAAGTCTGATGGCATTGTGTCAAGACAGCATGTTGATGGTTTTAGATGCTGAACTGTTTCCTCTATGGTTTTTGGTCAACTGTATTAAATTCTGACATCGCAGTTGAGTTATTCCTGGGAGGTCTTAGGGATTGTGTTATTTTATTGTTTTGTTGATTTGTGTTAATATTTAACCTTATGGACTGGATTTTTTCACTGAAAAAGCAAGCAAATTCATTGCATTTTGCTGTGGAAAGGAGTTCTGGAGCTATCTGTTTAGGGGGGTTTGTCAGCTTATCAACCATAGCAAATAGAGTGCGAGTGTTGTTGATGTTCTTATTAATAATTTCAGAAAAGTGTCGCTGTCTAGCCTTGACTAACTCATAGTTAAAATTACAAAGACTTATTTTGTAGAGGTCATGGTGAATTTGAAGTTTAGTTTTTCTCCACTTACACTCTGCTTTCCTGCATTCTGTTTTTAAAGCCTTTACCATCATAGTGTTCCTCCATGGTGTTTTCTTTCTGATCAAGGTCGTCTTAGTTTTAATAGGTGCAACAGCATCCATGACATTTGAGATTTTCCAGTTAAATTTATCTAGGAGTTCATCAACTGACTCTGCACTCACAGTTGGTGACATAGCTATAGCCTCCATAAACTTTGCATTGGTATTCTCATTTATGTACCTTCTCTGACACAGAGGTTAACTGAACATTTGGAATGATCTGTAAGTCAAAGAACACACAGAAATGATCAGAAAGAGCCAAGTCCTTAACATCAACAGAAGAAATGTTAACACCTTTAGAGATAACCAGATCCAGAGTGTGGCCTCGAGTGTGTGTGGGCCCTTCCACATGTTGGAAGAGGCCAAAAGTGTCAAGTAGAGCAGAGAGTTCTTTGGCATTACTGTCCATGTTATTGTCTACGTGAATGTTAAAATCCCCTGTTATGATACAAAAGTTGTAATCAGTAACTGACAGCAGTTCAGTAAACTCAATGAATTTTCCTGAGTATCTTGGAGGTCTATAAATGATTAAAAAAATAACTTTTGGATCACCTTTTAGTAAAAAACATAGATATTCAAAAGAGCTAAAATCACCTAACGTAATTTCCTTGCACTGAAATACAGATTTAAAGATGGCAGCAACTCCCCCGCCTTTCTTACCAGTTCGACACTTGTTCATAAAACTGAAATTTGTTGGTGCTGCCTCATTGAGAATAGCACAACAGCTACATTCAGTCAGCCATGTTTCACTAAGAAGTAAAAAAATCTAGATCATAGGTCATAATGACATCATTAACTAACAGTGATTTGTTGACTAGTGATCTGATATTGAGTAGAGCTAATCTTGTGGAGATAGCAGGAGACACTGGTATATTTCGAGGTTGACATTCTATACTTAATTGGCAGATTTACCCTTTTTATTTCTCACCAGTTTAACCATTCTTCTGTTACCTGTCATCACAGGGATTGAGAAGGCTATCTGAACTCCATAGGGCCCTGACTTTTCTTGGGGGAGAACATTATTGGTATCAGTATTGCAGCCTGGACCCGGCACATATCAGTCCGACTCACAGATTATCTGAGTCAGAGGAGGTGGGGGGGCTCTGTGACGTTTGGGTGATGGTGTTTTCCAGCGTGGTGGAATGGGAGGGGCTGGACGAGGAGGGGGATTTAGGGGAGAAAAAATGGGATTTGGGCGTGGTGTGAGTTGGAAACCCTAAGAGAAATCACACAGGCGCTATTGTTGATGACGTCTCGCCATAAAAGGAAAAAACATACCTGTACTATTCATGTTTATTACCAACCTGTGTTATTATTAGTAGGTAGAGCTTTTGGGTATCTTTTGGCCTCGTCAAAACATTGAAATAGCTGCTTAAAAGCCTATGTTCATTATTAAAACCCTTCTAAAATCATTAACCCCCCCCCCCCCCCCCCCCGCTTTCTGCAACCTCTTATTTCTATGGCCTGAACCACCAGAACCTCTATTTCAATGCGTGTGTGTGTGTGTGTGTGTGTGTGTGTGTGTGTGTGTGTAAAAGACCTGTTTTGCAGCAGGATGCGTTTGTAGATGTCGATGGCTTCCTGGTAGTGGGAGCGCATGTAGTGAATGGAAGCCAGACTCAGCTGGTCCTCCGTCACGTCCTCCAAGTTCTGGTGGAAGCCCATCAGTTTCTTCTCATCGTTAAACTAACGCCCACACACAAGGAGACGAACCAATCAGAAGGTGTGATACATTGACATGGCCTTAAAGAACAGGTCATGCTGGTTTTGGATGATAGAATAGATTGGATGATAATACTTTAATAATATTATAAAAAGAAAGTGTGAACCTTGTGAGCCAGGTGGAAGAGGAGTCGATTCTGTAGTGGGGATGTGGGAGCTGTGTCAGAGAACATCAAGTTAAGTTAAGAAATATTTCTAGTTAAAAAACATTACTTAATTTTTAGTCACCCTGATGAAGGCATGTGTGCCGTAACGTGTAGGTGCATATTTTTAACTTTTGCCATGCATCAGCCAAACCAATAAAGGCTTTTTACATTTTTCTACCTTAGTCGCTATCTTTTTTTGCATTAATTTTGTAGTGTTGGACAAAATGGAAGAACAATTTTATTGTTATTAATATTTTGCTATAAAAAGCCATTTTTAACCAAGTCCCTCTTGGTCGCAGGTGGCGCAATGATACTTGGTTCTCTTAACGGCTCCATATGTGACTTACTATCAGTAATCATTAACAACAATGTGGCCAGGTGCTCACCCTTGGATGCAGCCTCCTCGGCTTCCTTATAGCGGCCCAGTAGAAACATGGTGCAGGCCAGGTAGACCCACACCTCCACTGGACACTCTGCTTTCTGGCTCAGAGTCTTGTACACCTGTCACAACGAACCAGAGACACTCAGAGCCTGACCCACAACCAACTAGCTAACCCACCCTTTCTGAAAGAGCAGGAAAACTTGGGATTGTTTTGTAAAATTGAAGCATCTTTAACAACAAACTGAACAGATTTAAAAAAAAAAAAAAAAAAAAAAAAAAAAAAAAAAGTCATTTTAGACTACCCTTTATGTTGTTATTTTATGTAAAGACACACACACACAACCTCCAATGCTCTCTTGTAATCCCCCAGGTGAAAGGCACAGTAGCCCATCCAAAGGTCTGCATGCTCCTCTCTCTCCCCCACGTCTTTCTGGAACTGGAGGGGGCCAACACAGCAACATGTCGGCATCAGCAACACTTAACACCATCACTCAGGCAGCCTAGCTGTTTGACTGGCAGTAGTTGTATATATGGTGTATAGCGGTGTGTCTACCTCTAACAGTGTCAAGGCCCCATGGTAGTCTCTCTGCTGTAGATACTCTTCCAGGTCGGGGACCTTCTTGGTTCTGGTTTTGTGTTTCTTCTCATGTAAACCGACAGGTGCATCTCCCCCCACCGCTGGTTTGATACGAGACAGAATCTGTCTCATTGAGAGAGAGTAAAGACACAAGTAAGGTAAGGTAAGTAAATGAGGACAAGCGGCATTTACAACGAAAGATCATTTTCTTTCCACACGCAGTTTTATGACATGAGCATAGTGTTTTACATGTTTTACAGTGTTTGTTTTTCACTGAACTCACCATGTCGGAGTGTATTTTCTCTTGCGATAGAAACGGGCGGCTTGTTGATGTCTTACAACCAAGGTAACGCTGTGGACACCTCGCCTGAGTCTTCCTATGCAGTCGGTTGCTTTTGCTTAGGCGGAGCTTAACGTTTATATTCAACTAAGCCAACATTAGCCTTTTTTAAATCACCGTTAACTACCACACACAATGACTACTACTACTTCACGTTTCTAAAAATGCTAAACATGATCTAACTAATGCGACGTTCTGTAGATCTGACTTACTGGTCACCTTTCCAAGCCCCCTCAATATAAAATACCACTTCCGGTCCAATATTTCACAATAAAATAATGCAATCGACAAATACTTTTTAATCATTCGTAAATGTGGCCAATGTGTTTGTTTTCAATGTAGGTCTACGCGGACAAGTGCAAGATTGCTAATAAATGAATGTTAATATAATCAACTACACTCAAAAAAACATCACCTCTACAGTTTATTTTGTCAATACTTTGCAACTGGCAGGCGGAAATAAACTTATATGAACCGCTTCATAATGCATCTTTTGGCGGATGCACCAATAGTTGCTTAGCAACACTGTAAATATGCCTTTGTACCGTGTATTGCATGTACCCAAGACTTTCTATACATAGTCTATTATGGCATGACAAGTAGAAAAGTAGTACATGACGATGAATCGAGGCACGTTAATGTAGAGATTCAATAGAACGGCATTGGCATCAACAAGCCCCAGTGGCCTAATAAGTCACTGGCCTCCCAAGCCAGGGATTGTGGGTTTAAATCCCATCTTGTTTATACCAGTTTATACCAGTTACAAATAGCTCAGTGACAATCACCTTCAGTGTTTGGACAACTCAGCGGACGCTATGCCCACCACATCTCTTCAAAGTCAATATTAAGCACAAGGTGGATATTTCATGTTTAACTGAACAAACGCCACAAATGTCAACTACGGAATTTGCTATTTTCAGCATGCAAGTTGCTAGCTTGGAGGTGGTCGTTTCACAAAGCGTCAAGGACTTAATATTTAACCAACAGTGGGCTTATACCAACAACCAGTGATTCAGATCACTGGTTGGGGTCACCTGCTGATTAAGTGTTGCAACTCATCCGTCCTTTACTTACTGAAACTGAATTAAAGCAGCACTCACAGGCCCTGCTTCCGAATTGAAAAAACTACAGAGGGTCAATAAAGGTCAGCACACTGATCAACTCTTATTTTTATTTTACAGCTTCTTGTAAAATATAAGCACAAGCAAGCATTGATGGACATGAATTAAGACCACTCGGAAGAGGCACCGCCCCAGTCGGATGCCTGGGCAGTAGGAGCAGCAGACCAGTCTTCTGTGGGAGCCTGGTTGCTCCAATCCTCTGTTGGGGAGACAAGTAGAAAATTAATTAGGCTGTGCCTTGTGCCAAAAACTGATGTTTCCAAGTGCAAAATGAAATCATAGTTCAATAACTACATAAATGTTACTTGCCAGTTACACCTTCCGCAGCAGGTTTAGCAGGGACAGCTAGGGCAAGAAAAAAATAAAGTAGTCAATGTTCTGGAAATGCCCACTATGACGGCACAGCAAACGCATGGTGCAAGCCAATTCAGAAGTAATGATGTATGGCATAAAGCGAGGCTCACCATCTGTGGGCCCAGGGAACTGCTGGAGGGGCACAGAGGGCACTTGGACCCCCTCAGACCAGTCAGCCGCCTCAGGCTGGACTGGGTCAGCCGCGGGTGCGCTCCAGTCACCCTGGAACTCTTCCTTCCCCACTGCCTTCTCAGCAGCCGCCTGCTCCTCCTTCTCAATCTAGGGAAGATGAATTGGCACAGCTGAGAAATGCATGACCATGGGAGAACTGGCCAGCACTAAAGCACTAAATAATTGCTTTAAGTACCACATAACCGCACAAGAAATTAGCAGTGTGTGACCCTAGCAAGCCTCACCTCCTCTGGGTCTCTGTAGAAGTAGAGGTCAGGCATGACCTCCCAGGGGTGTTCCCTGGAGATGGTTCCCCTCATCCTGAGCACCTCCCTGGTCAGCATCCACCACATTAGACCCACGGAGTGGTGACCCTGTAACAGTCACTATGAGCAACAGGAGTACAGCACACAATGGTACAGTATAGAATGAAAAATTGGGCAATCATAGACCAATATACCTCGGCAATATATTCTAAAAGTAAGGTCAATGCTGTACCAGCTTAGATGGCATGGTTTAGGTGTGGCTCAGGTCACTATCAAACCACCAGTCAGTGGGCAGCAGCCCTCGTGGTTGTCAGCGAAAACCCAGCCTGGTTTCTGTGCCACACTTCCGAAACCCAAAACACTGATAGATCAGTGGCAGGCTTTAACAGTGTGTGGTTAGCTTTCAAATCTAATGGTGGCAATTACCAATGGTCCATACGTCTCATGCAAGTCACTCGAACCCTCCCAAACATTTGAATTTAACCACCTTCCAGGTCCATTTGCAAGCATGTGTAAAAACACATTTGTCTGCATTTCTTTCCACCCGGCAGCTCAAGCAGCACCATTTCTTTTTTTTAAAGCACCGTTTCAGAATACAGATTCAGAAATGTCACTGGACCCAAAACTCCACCTTGTTGTTGCAGGGGATGGCAATGTCCACGTAGCGGAGTGGAGAGTCAGTGTTGCACAGGGCGATGGTGGGGATGTTGACATAGGAGGCCTCCGTCAGCGGCTGGTGGTCAGCACGGGGATCGGTCACCATCAGGAGGCGGGGCTCCCTGAAGGCTGCCTGGATCTGATTGGTGAAGGTACCGGGGGTGAAGCGGCCATGGAACGTCGTGGCACCGGTAGCCGAAGCAAACTTCAGCACAGCTCTCTGTAGAGGAAACGTTGAGAATATAAGAACAGGGCAATATCAAATCCTCAGGAATAGTCTCTCAACGCAAATAAAGACGTGTGGCTCAGGTCACTATCAAACGACCAGTCAGCGGGCAGCAGCCCTCGTGGTTGTCAGCGAAAACCCAGCCAGATTTCTGTGGCACACTTCCGACACCCAAACACTGATGGATCCGTGCCAGGCTTTAAGGGTGTGCAGCTTTAAATAAACGTGGACATATAGGTGGCAAGCAGGATCCAATTTAGTCAAAAAAAGCTACAATGGGTTACAATCCCTGAAACGGAAGGCTTGGTTTTAGGTCACCCCTAAACAGTGGAAGGTGTGACTAAAGCCCCTTAATAGAACATCGCAAAAGCCCATCGTGCAATGAACCTACAGGGCTTGTTAGAGGTTCGTCCATCAGCAGGGCTCCGGCTGTGGTCTCAGTAAGCCCACCTGCCCAGTGTTCCTGGAGGAGATGACACAGATGTCAGCTGGGTTCTCAATGGCCACGATGGCCCGGGCCGCCAGCAGCAGCTTCTCCCAGGTACGCCTCAAGTTGATAATGTACACCCCTAGAGGCAAAACAACCACATTAAAAGGTAGGGCTGGGTGATATAGCCAAAATCTTCTGTCCTGATATAGGTCATTTAATACCTTGATAACTATATACATCACGATATAGGATGTTTTCTGGTAATCAATAGTTTATATAAAATAACCGCATTATAATGCCTATTTTTGTATGCTCCAGTGTGAAGTAAATATTTGACAAATGAAGTACTGAATATTTTCTTATTTTTATCACCACTTTACTGTAATGCAGCCTTTAAAACCAGGAAAATACATTATGAAAGACATACTTGCGCCATATCACGATATTACAAGTGACCAAGACGATATCTAGTCTCATCACACTATCGATATAATATTGATACATTATCCAGCCCTACGTGCAGCCCGTTGCATCCTTCATGCCCAGGGACATAGGGCAATTAAATCCACCGAGTACAAAATACATAATTGCATTCCCAATCCCCATTACAAAAAAAACATCGGAAGTTGTCCGTCGGGGGAAGAGTTTAGTGTACTGCATTATCTGTACTAACCATCACTTTTTCTTTTGTACACATAGTGCTCCATTTGGAAGTCCATGTTGGTTCCTCCCAGATGTGTTCCTGCTGCCAGGAACTTCAGCACATCTTCCTCCTTCATTTGAAGGACATCCAGACCTCCGGACATCGTGACCGCTTTCCCTGTGTTACGAGGTTAACGGGAAAACTACAAGGTAAAAGAAAACAAAAGAGATCAGAAACATGTCTTGATTGAAGCCATGGCGAATAACTTGAAAATTAAGCTCATAATTAGAGAAACATAAACGGACCCAGCGTGCGTTTGCCATCCCTTGAAAACAATTGGGATGATTACGTAATACGTGTAATTTACACCTTCCAACAGCTATCGTTTAAATTGTCAACAGAAAGGCTGTTTGACCACGATCAACGCCGGCTAGGATGCTAGGAAGCCATGTAAAGCCCATGGTGTGTGCCTCCATATAGCGGTGACTCGCCTTTAGGCAAAGTCCACAGAAAACTCAATGTCAAATTGAAAAATAATATATACATTGTAACGCCATACATAGTGTGTCTCTAGTGTCAGAACGACTTTTAAGATCGAAATGCTTTCTTGTGTAGCTCACCACGAGACAACGCCGTATGGAGGTCAGTACCGCAAGGTAAAAAAGAGACCGGACACGGAAACCACGTCATAGTTATACCCGCCATAGAGTGGTGCAGTCATAGACATATATACATACCACATAGACGGAGCATCGAATGCTACTGCCTACTGGCGCTGACGAGATTCGGAGCCGCCATATTGGAGTGGTGATCCGCTCCACTCAGTGTCATTCGTTTGGCAGGAGCAATGAACTGTCAGCGCATTTAATTAATCATACCTCACTGATTTTCACACGTTTTTTTTGTCATACGTGTAGCTATAATAAAGGACACATGTTTTGGCATGTAATACCGTATTTTCACAAAATACAACCAATAGTACGGTAATGTTAAATCTTACTTGTGAGAAGTAATCCTGTGATTTCTATTTTCGACCGTCCGCTCATTTGAGCAGGAATAGCTGAACACCAGCTCGGCATCCTTGTTTTCTTCTCCTGGCCATACGTGTCAACTGTCAATCTATGCTGCTCCCCTCCCCCATCACCACTCCAAGATGGCCGCCGAATTTCTCGCGCCACAGCAGCCAATGCTCCGTCTATGTATAAGATGTCTAATGCTGCGTTCGACGGCAATGGGATGTGGGACTTATCCTACCTGAAGTCTACTAGCTCCTACTTCAAAGCGTTCCAGGTAATTGAAGTGGAATGTAAACAGAAAACATGGACGACCGCAGTCTCTTTAGAGGAATTATTACAATTGTATCAATAACACATTGATTAACCTATTGTCCAGCACTGGGTAATGATATATGGCGGTGTTAGAGATGTTCTGGCGCCGTATGAAAGCTTGCCATATCGCTAAGGTATATTTACATATCTTCATGCTAACAGAATAACGACATAATTTCACGCCATAATATGAAAAACAAGTTGTGTTAAAATTGCAGTGTCTAAAACAACCCTACACTCACAAAAGTAAAGTTTATAGCCTATTCGTTCTCACAACGTGTGATTCCATGGGCGCCGCCATTTTGCTCCGACGTAATTGTGGCGAAGTCGGGGTAGGTCGAGCTCCCCCGACTTCGCCAGTTGAAGGTTCCACTTCGACAGGCATTCCAGTGCACTTTTCTTAGTTGGAGGTCGGATAAGTCCCACATCCCATATGCCGTCGAACGCAGCATATGTATACATAGACGCCTCATGACGTGCTGGAACGTAACCCAGCGTCGCCGCCATATTGGTTGGGTCTCCTCACTCTAGTCTAGCATAGGAGTCAACGGGA